GATCACCATAACTGGTCTACTCTGGCCTCCAATCGGGAGGTCTGGAGACACACCATCTATAATGCTGCTGTCTCCTTCGAGAACACACGCAGGATCACTCTTGAGGAAAAAAGGCAACACAGAAAGAATTGTGTATTGTAGAATATACCATCTAAGGAGTCTTTCTGCTGTGCCTTTTGCAATCAGATGTGTCTGTCTCGTATTGGCCTCATAAGCCACCAGCGTGCCTGTAGCAAATATGGTTAGAGCCTTCCCAAATCTTTGTTTGCGAAGCCCAGCCATGATGATAAAACCAATACTTAATATAATTTTTTTTTAAGAAAAAACACTTTGTGTTTTCTCAGGATCAATTCCCCATGAATGCTTAGGTGTCCCTACACTGACTGGAATGATTCAAGAATCCTGCAAAGACAGTGAGAATTAGGTCCAGATATGTTTTTCCAGCTATACCAGTACAGAATCATGTGTTGCCACTTTGGTGTATTTGGGGGTTTCTATGGTGAAGAGATCAACCAGTGCAGCTGAAACAGAGCAGGTCCTTCCATGCATTTGCTACACAATTGAATAAGCCTACTGAAAAGAGCCAAGCTGCTCACAGGTAACATAACTCGATTAGTACAATATCTCCCAAAGTGTTTTCAAACTATAAAAATCACATCCTATGCCATCCAGTGCTAGGCCATCTCAACTTCCCCTACCTATGCATTTGAATATAATAGTTTCACTGTTTTGATGAGGGACTGTACTCATACCTTGCCTCAGGTGTAAAGAGAAAAGCAACACCACACAGTGTAAGCACAACGCACATGAGTTGTTCCTTCTTGAGCTTAAGTTTTCAGCCTGGGCCATTTTCAAGGTCCTGCTTTTGTTGCTGTTAATGTGGCCAACATTTTCTAAAGGAGTATTATTGAAAGCAATGAGTCCTAATATATTTTATAGTCAAGATCTTGCTTATCAGATCCAGTCTTCTGTTTTCAGGCAATCTCCTCTGGAATGCCTCAGAGTATCTTTGAGCAGAGATAGTAATGGGCATCAGATAGAAAAATCTGTCATCTTATTATCCAATATTTTTTGCAATGATTTGTATAATCCACCTTATGGCAATGTTAGTGTAAAAAAGAAACTGAGCATTCTCATTATATTTTGCCTTCCTGAAGATGATTTAATAAGCCTACCCTTTCTATTAATTCACAGGAGAATAAATGACATCCATTGGATTGATACTTAACTCACATCAGTCTAAATTTGGAGACTGAGAAGTGAAGCATCCTTGTCTTGCTACAGAAATGATCTCATTAAGTAAGCAAAGGCCTGGCTAAAGGGATAAACTCCACACAAATATTCACTGGAAACTCTAGCTTCCTGGCTACCCTGGTGGCTTAGATGGGAAGGCAGACCACACCCTTGTGTCAAAACCCAGCTTTAACATTCACGCTTCACTCCGACAAAAGCTATGCCTTAAGGCTCAATTATACCTGTGTGCAAAGACCCAGCACAAGGTTCACAAGCCACTTACATCCTCAAAGTGACTTGAGAAGAGCACTGGCCTTATGGAGTCTTTCTCTGCAGAGGGGACTGTGGTAAGCACTGAACAGTGCTTACCAAATCATGGTCTGAAAGTTACTTTTCTCTTCCCTCTACCTATGGAATTCACAACATTTTCCTATGAAGTCTATCTCCCTCCAACAAACTATTTTGGGATCACCAAAAATTGTGTTGTTTGCAATAGGATGCACACTCTATTGAACAATTATGTGCAAAAATCACATTTCTTTATCATAGCAGCAGGACACAGTGAGGAACTAACAGAATACTTCTTGGCAGAACAGTACTTTCACATAACTCCCCAGTAATAGAATTTGGCTGGTGTTCCTAGACTTGAAGAACTCTTGTCATTTGACAGTGCAAATATATCATCACATATATTCGTCTATTCTCCACCATGCCAAAATTAATTCGCTCTTCCCAAACCATCTCCTCCAAATATTAGAATTTCATTTTCTCTGAGCTGTCTTGATCCTCCTTCCTGTTCAGTCTTCTACACCCAAACTAACCCTTACAGACTTTTCATCTGTGCAGAATCTCCTTTCCTTTTCTTATCTCTCTAACTTACATATTATTCTCTCCACAAGCTCCAGTCTCAACACCAATCTCTTCTTCCATCAGCACATCAGTTTGTTTTACTTCATCTTTCTGCTAATCTATCATGACAGTGTTTGGTGCCCAGCCCAAGGATGCCACCCACCATTTACACCTATCACTCTCACCTTTCCGTTGCCCATTCCGTAATATGCGCGTGCAGCATAAAGCAAAATCAAAACAACAAGAACAAAACCATCACACCCACAAACACAAATGGCATCATTTCTAGGGGGAATGTACTAGAAAGTATAGAACAAGGTATGGGAAACATTCAGACTGTTTCTGAAACTTTCCTATGAGAACCCATGAGGGATCTCTAGTTAAACCTGTAGAGAAACGCAACAGCAGGTTTCAGTCAATGGATATAGGAGAAACTGTTTGCAGTAGTTGTAGGTGTGCTAGACACCACAAAAACAGGAAAGTAATAATTCCACTAAACCCGTAGTATCAAATTTCTTTTGGTTGGTGTTCCATTACTTAAAAAAACAATAAATAACACTCAAGACCAGTGTACTAGTCGAACACCAGCCCATATATACACAAAGTGTAATGAATTGAACACTAAGATTTATTTGAACTTCAAAGGAGTTTGCTGACTTTCAGTCACTGGTTAGAATTTTCTCTTCTGTGTGAAGCATGTACTTCTGTAAGTCTCTCCAGAATGCAGATGTAGACATTTCTGAGTTTCTGATGTCTGATTTATAAAGTCAGCAAATGGTCCATTCAATTCCCTGATGTGGATTCCAATGCCTTATCAGTTTCCACAGGGTGAACCTGCAAGGTCAGGTGTGAAAGTGTTAGTCTACTGAAGCACCTAGTGCCCTTAAAGCCAACTAACTGCTACCCTGCACACAGCCTTCTAGAACAGACTTCCATTGGCCATAACAGATCTCATTTAGATTTTGATTCTTCTTGTGTCAGAAATTACAAAATGTTCTACACAAACACAGATTCAGAAGTGAGCAATGGATTGCAAATTGAAAAAAGAAATGCAAACCCAAGATAATTGCCTATGTAGGTGCATTTGTCCCATGAGAACCTACAGATAAAGATGTAGCAGAGGCACGTGAGACCCAGAACCTGGTCTAACATTTGCCTCAGAGGCTGAACAAGAAACATGCACAGCTGTTGCTAGGTCAAAAGTTGGACTTGATGATCTCAGAGGTCTTTTCCAACCTAGTTGAATCTGTGGTTCTGTTATACAAGCATTCATCACAACTATCAATTCAGTGACAGGGAATGAATAGAAAATTAATTAAGAAAAGACAGAAACTAAACCAGAAAACACAGTAAGATCTTGTTTGAAAAAAATGCATATTGAGAAACACATGTTGAAACGGAAGTAACTCAAAATCTTTCAGAGTAACTCCTTGAGAGTGACCATGGTGGCTTAAGAATGGGTGTGCTGCCAGAGAGAATGGAAAAAAGATATTATGCAATTTGGGGAAGTATTGCCTCTTACCACAACATTTCCACGGGGCAAAGAGCACAATTCTTGACACCAGTTGACGGCTGTATCTTCCAGCTGCCAGGAGAGAGCATCAGCAGGTTTGGTCTAGTATGATTGAGGGTGAAGGTATCCTGAGCATCTCCTGTTTAAACTAACTGTGCCACTCATGTGTTACCAAAAAAAATTATGACACTTCGAAAAGATTCTAGGACAAATGCATTGGCCCTTCATTTGCTGTGCAAGCTGTTAGGTCATTGAGTGTAGGGAAAATCCTTGCTTTAAATTTAAGCAAACAGCAAAAAATACCTGCAGGACCAGGAAAAATGCAGCAAGAAGTTTTTTATTGCAGCGTTGGGTGCAATCCCAAGTCACATGGACCTAGAGGCACACCAACTGTTTGAAAAACACGCCTTTCGTGTTCTCCTGGTTACATAAGGTGTTACATATTCATTGATTGCCAGGTTTTTTACCTTAAAAGGTAATTTCTCGGACTCAGGGGGGTGTTACCCTCCCTCTTGATTGATTTGTGACATACCCCCCCATACGTTGTACAGGGGGGTCTCTCTGCACACAATGAGTAACCATGTGGCAGAGGGTACATTTTTATTTTTATACTTTTCCGTATTCCTGGCTGCGAAGGTTCCCTGGTGCCAGGACAGGACCCTCGACCTTACAGCTTTCACGATACACCTAAAAAAACCCTTGGACTTAAACGAGAAAAGAAAACCCCAGTCCCTTCTGTTTTCCACTAAATTCATTTGCTCATAATAAAACCAGATTATTTATTTCTCATGTCAAGTAAAGCTGGGTCCAACAGAGATGGATAGGATTTTAAATTCCCATGCATGCTATGTCCTACTTGCTGTCTTTGTGCAGCTCCAAGCTGAGTGAGCACCACTACTCATCAACATCCCTTGCAGCAACAGGGAGCACAGACACCCCACTCCTGGTCCCAGACTGCAGGACCTCAGTGCTAAAGAGTCTGGGACCACAACAGATGAGCTTAGATTTGGTTGCCTCAATGATAGAGGTGTTCAAAGGGGGAATGAAATTTAGAGAGCAGCCAAGTATGTTCAGAGCCTCGCTGACCTCCACTCTGAGGAGGAGATGAAAAACCTCCATATTTTGACTGCTTTAAGCATGAGCCAGGGAAAAAAGAACAATAAAAGACATAAGAGGAAACAATCCTGCATAATGATGGGTAATTTAACTGAAAGTGGTATCCAGTTTTAATTTACTAGGTAGGATGTAATTCCAGACCTTTCATTCCTCCGCAGTAGGAGACACTCCTTTAGAACAAAATGAAAAGGTAGGATGTTTTTTTCTTTCAGAAAAGCCCACTTACATTCCTGTAAGCCTTCCTTGAGTACCTCAAAAGCCCTCAAGATTACTCTGACTGGAGGACCGAAAGGAACATTCAAAGGTTTACAATAATTCTTTTCCTCAAGAGTAGAAGAAAACATCAGATGTAGGCTGCAGCTTTCAATGCATTATTAATATCAATCACTTGGCAGCATTTGTTTCTGTGAGATAAATTTGATCTGTGAACACAAAAAAAAGAGAAGGAAACAGCTGGTCAGACTAGTCACAGGAATACCTGCTGAGCCCAATAAAAAAAAAATATTTTTGCACAGGGACCCATGAAATGTGGACATAAAACAAAGCATGAAGAGTAGTAATACTTGAAGAAAATGTATTCAGTTACCAATCTCAAAGAACAATTGTAATGCAAATTAAAGTAGCAGTTAAGCAAAAATGTAGATTAATTGCAGATATTAAACCATGTAAACAAACCTTTTATCAAATAAAGCAGGCACTAAAGGGGATCCTGAGGCACTTACTGTACCACTGGGTTTTCTGCAGGGGTTTTGAATCTGTGAATGCCTAAATGCTTCCCAGGAAAGCTGGATACCTTGCACAGCAACATTGATCCTTCTGCCAGCAGACTGTCTTTACTTAGCTACCTTATGTGGATTATGTTGGTTTAATTTCTAGTCCTACAGGTCTGGGACACAGGAAGAAAAAGAAAGCTCCCCCCCAAAAAAAAGAAAACAAAAACAAACAAAAAACCCAACCCAAACCAAAACCAACACCAACAAACAAACAAACCAAAAAACATAAAACCCCAAACCAAACCAGACAAACACAAAAAAACAAACAAAAACCACAAAAAACCAAAAAGCAACCAACCAAACAAAAAAACAAACACAAAAAATAAAAACAAACAAACAAACAAAAAAGATGAAAAACCTCTTGTTTGGTGGCTCAAGTCACCATAATAGGGAATAATTAGTCACACAAAAAGGGTGCACTGCATGCCTGCGATCTGCACACCACCATAGCTCCATTAGTCTGCTGGGGACTGGACTCAAGTGAAGAGGCAACCTATGACATGATAGGTAACAGCAGCTCGGTAAAACAGTAAAATGACTCAGATGAGAAGGTCACAGAAAGCTTTTGCATTTGAAATGTGTGCTTTCATGTCAAAAAAGTCTCTGTGCCAGCTCAGAAGTGCCTTACTCCCAGACACCTGTCAAACAATTTGAAGTGGGAAAAGGGACTAAAGGTGAAAACTGAGATGCAGCTCAGTTTTGAGTGCTCGACAAAGGCATCCAAATTGAACAGGTGACACGGGGATTCTTGTTTATCTTTTAAAAATGCCTCACTACCAAAAACAATAATCAAAAAACTCAACCTGACTTCTTTTGGTGGCATTTAGTGAGGATTTGCCACACCAGGACTGCAGGAATACATCAGTGCAGAGTATAAATTAAATTCATTAACCCTTCACCCTGTATAAGGACTCGCATTCACACCTGCGTTGATGTTCTTCAATCACAGTAAATTATCCTTCCGTAGAGTAGGAGAAAGCTGCTGCAATCTAGTTATGTCACACCTGGATGGGAGCTTCCATGGCAGTATAACATGGTTTAATTCAACACTTCTTCACAGACTCTGCTGATTTGCCTTAGTTTTCTTGAAAAGAAATTACTTTAGGGAGGAAATTGGTCACTGCAGTAGTCTGCTTTACCAGATAAAATATGCAATGCCTGCCTCTGTGGAGGGAAGAAGGATGGTGGCTAGGAAAAGAAGTGGATCACAGAGTGTCGAAGCAGGTGTACAGCTTTCCTCCAGCCTCATGGAGAGGCCTCATGAAAAGATATGAATGCCTCAGTCTCTGCTATCTCATGGCAGAACACATTGTCTGTCCCCAGGCAGGCTGAGGGAGCAGCACTGCTGGTGCAGTGATAGAGGGTTCTGTTTGGCTCATTAGGTCAGGGTGAACTGCATGAGGGAAATAGGAGTATTTGCAAAGACTGAGCAGAACTGCGGCATTCTGCAGGCGCTTTTCAAAGACCAGTTCCATGACTTTACAGGAAAGTAGGGAGGGAGGAAATTACCCTAAAAGCTCAGTTAACTAGGACTTCATCTGTATTTTCCTTTCCCTTGCAGAGGGAAGTCTACCTTATACTGAGCATCCATTTAAGTAGCTGCAATTAAACTTATATCGTTCAGCTAATATACTTGGTTCAAGTATACAACAGTTCTTCAGGAGAAGTCATTCATTTTATGCAGCTGACATCTTTCTTTGCTTTCCCTCTACCCCCACCCCAGATTTCTGGGAGAAGGTATCACTCTGATATACCATCCTACTCACCCAGAACTTCTGCAACATTTACATAATCACCAAAATGACCTATTCATCCCTGATAGACCTAAGTCTTTCTTTAATCAAGTCTATAGTCCCTCCATCATGTCATCCTTGTTAAGCAGGCCAAACTTATCTTGAAATGTCAAGAGCCACTGTGACTAATTAATTATTCTACCTTATCAGTCTTTTGAGAAGTACTTCAAAAATCACTGAAGAGCCCACTTCAAAACTATATTGTCAACCAAAAAAGAAAAAAGTTAGTACACAAAAGAATTGAAATAAGAAAAATTCTTATTCCGTGCAGAAAGTTTACTCAGACCAAGAAATGGCATTCAGTACAATACCGTCAGCTTCATAAAGTTTGAAGGGTTTTGCTCCCAAAGAACCTTGCTTTGTTTTTTTGGTGGTTTGCCATGTTCCTACCTGGCCAAGCATAAATGCACACTTACATAAAATCTCTGAGCAGAGAACAACCTCATCAAGAACAACTGGTAGAGTTTCTTTCTTTCTAGAAGGAGTCATCCTTTTCTACATTTTACAAATCTTTCTCAGTCCCACATAGTTTTTTTTCCACTTTCCTTTTTCTGGTTTAGAAAACAACCACAATGCCAAAGTACTTTGATCATCATTCCAAAGACATCTCTACAATCTCAGTGTTATTAAGAACAATCAGACTCTGAGTGGGATAAAAATAACCAATGCACTTGTACACTTCTTTCTTTTTAAGCTAATATAATCCACTAACACATGCAAAAGATGCATTCATTCAACCATACTAGAGAAAGACAACCCATTTCTTGAGCTATAATGGTGAAAATGCCCATTTATGCCTCTGTCTCAAGAACTGAGCAAATACAAAAGACTGTCACAACTTAGGGTTTATGTTTAACTAATATTTATCAAAGATTTCTAACCAGAGAGTATTTTACAAAGGAATCAGTTGAAAAAAACAAACTGTCCTTTAAATGAGTTCCACAGGAGTCCAGCCAGACCATTTTGTAGGTTGACACATACGTCCTACTGAACATACTTGGAGTCGTTCAAGATGCTTAAAATATATGCTTTTAATAGACACTAGAGTATCTGCGTTAACTTTTCTATTTCTTAATCATCCTTACAACAGGTTCTTTTGTATCCATTAGCTTCTGTTGACCGGGAGGAGCAATGCTGTTAGCTATTATGGAGAGTTAAAACCAACTCGTCTTCTCTACAAAATAAAGTAAGTGGAACTACAGGAAGAATGTAAAAAACATAACAGTTTGTTTGTCATATGTACACATCTGCCATTCCAATTGTTTTCCACAATGATTCTTACAGAACATGCATTAACTTCCATACAGAGAGATTCCATATAGTTTTAGTGGAACTTAACTGGAAAAACACTACTTAAAGTATATATTTGCACCTGACTATAGCATCAAATGGAAAACATTCTGTCTGATTTCCTCCTCTTCTCCTCCCATCAGTTTTAAGGTGAAAATTGGCCCTTGTTATTTTTTCCACATCTGCAAAATGCAAAAGCCTGTTTTTAGAACCCCAGGAGATTTTCCTGTTGGAAAATCACACTACACACTTAGCACGTTTCTGCTGCCTGCTGTAGGAAGCATGTGCATGCAGAATAAAACAATGCTCCTTTTCCAAGCATACTGGAACTGCACAAATCAATACACTGTGTTAAAATTATCAGATTTGTTTTTTATCTTCAGTTCATTGTTAGTACCTAGAGGAAGATGAATGAATCCTGTGCTCTCAAAAAGAATAGACAGCATTTCTTCAAAATACACTGATTGATTTGTTAAATGTATTTATATTTGATTTATTTAATCAAAAGGCATTCCCCTTATTATGTTGGTTTGCTGCATGAGGTCATGAATTCTTTTTTGTGCAAACTTTTAGCAACCCAATTTTGTTACAAAAATAGCTCAACTTCTATGATTAAGCCTGTGTCTACACTCTCTTCTTTGTCCAACTGCTAAGGCTGGCTAATAAAGCTGTTACTGCTTAGAAATGAGGTAAGCCACCTCTGGCTCTGCACTCCCAAGCCCTCTATGGGGAAAGGAGAAGCGGTACATGACAGAGCTGGCTGTTTTCATTCCTAGGGCTTTGATTAAGGACAGAAAATGGTTCCTCTCTGAGCAGAGGAAATGGCTGTCCAGCAAACACATGCTGAAAAACAACATGCTGTGATAGAGACTGATAGCAATGAACACAATACACATTGCAACAGTAGCAGTATAACAACGGTTTGGATAGACACTGGACTCCCTCTGGCTCTCCACAAGCTGACCAAGGAGAACAGCTATCAGGGGACTGACAGATGAATGGGGAGTGACAAGCACTTATGGAAGAATATGCTTTACAGGAGCTGTGAGAAAGTCCACTCACCCCTGACAGCATGCAAATTTATCTTACAGCCTGCATTACTGGATTTACTAGTGGTTTGTCACAGTCTGTGTCAGTAGGAAGAGAGACGCTCATCCCCTGGAGAAGCCGCAAGAGTAGTGAGTCAGGCCTTAATAGCCTTAGTTCCCCTCCTTTCCTCAGGGGAACACCAATTTGTGGCTGGCTGTGACTATCTTCTCAGAGGCTCCTGCAGATGACCAACAGCTTGCCTGGGAACATAACCCAGATTTTTAAAGTGCAACTGTCATGTAGGCAGATACTGTCACTGTGCACAAAGACCAAAAGACCGTTCCCAGGGGGAGCACAACCAGGATTGCTTCAGGCTTTTCAATAATGGAATTCAACAGGACCTATGGCTACTGCCAGCAAACACTAAAATTCTGCTCATGACCAGTGATGTCCCTCAGGGCATCAGCATGCCTCCAAGGCAGATCACAAGAGGAGCCAGTATGACTGAGTTAGTGCTGATTAAGGAGTAGAAATCCT